ACCCCCCCTGAAGCACCAGAGGGGCGCACGGGCGAGAGGCAAAGCAGCGCAGGCGTACAGGCCGCACAAAGAGGGGATCTAGAGGGGTCCGCAGAGCGCAGCCCACAACCCTCCAAAGGCAATGCAGGAGTGTCATCCCTGCGATCCATTACACACCCGCAGCAAAAAACCCCTCCACTGACCGGAGACCCCCAGGCAAGGGAAATAGGGACCCTCAGGTACTCACGACCCTCAGCGTTTGTCCCGGCCCAGACGTCCGACCCTGGAAGGAGGAGGAGCTCTACAATCCGTGCCTGTCTCCCCCGGCGTCCACAAGCCGAAAGGAAGACACTCCCCATCCACCCGAGGCTCTAGGAAGCCCGGGCGGAAGTGACGAAAAGGGCAAATTTGCCCTCATCCAAGATGGCGGCCGCAGATCCGATCCGGAGGCCGCAAAAGCCGGGGCCTCGATTTTCGGCGTGGCCGCCGAACGAGCGGGGAAGGCCGCGGACGCCGCCGCCGACCAACGGAGCCCCATAAAGCCACAGTCCCTCCAGGGCAGGCCACCGGCAGACCCCCCCAAGGGCCCAGGCACCACCAATTAGGTCCCTACACAGCAGCCGCGGAACCACCCGAAGGCCGCACAGAGACCAGGGCCTCGAGTAGCGGCCGCGACCGCCGAACGAGCAGCCTATGCCACAGGTGCAGCCAGCACACCTCCCCTGCGTACAGGAACACCCCCATAGTAAAAAGCCCCCGCAGACAAGGGCCACACCGGCCCACCCGGCCATGAGGGGGGGAAGGGGGTACAAGGGGCTGCCGCAGCCCCCAAGCTTACCTGAGCATCCGGTCCCCCGAAACATCCACCGCAGACCTCCATACCTATGAGAAGGGCAGGCCGGACCATATCCACAGGAACCCGGATTCGCAGGAATGCGGCAGGAAAAGACGTCCCCGACCGCAGCCGCGACGTCTTCAGCCTACAGGGAGCGCCATGACAGGGAGGCCAAGACCCCCAGTCAGAAGCCCCCCCCTGGGACGAGCCCAGAGGCGTCAACAGGGGACCACATGTCGCAGCCGACCCACCGTGGCAGAGTCTGCATGCGCTCGTTGGTCACCCAGGGGAGACTACAAGGATCTACAATCATCCAGCCTGTCGCCCTGGGGACACTTGCTAGAAGAAGAACGAATCCAATCGGAAGAAAGGGAAAAAATATCCAGAGAAATTTTTTTAGCTCCTTACTCCTGACGCTAGGCAAAAAACTGGAGACTTGTCAGCAGGTGGGGGGTTTGGCCACCGGCAGGGGCCGCCCCTAGGCTGTAATTGGTCTTTAGTTTTGTGCCTAGCGTCCTTCTCCTGCAGGTGGCGATATTACCCTACCATTCAGGATCTACGATCTGTTGCCTGTGTCCTTCAATGAACGGGAGAGAAAAGATATCACCAGTAGTGTCTTTTTTTTCCAGGAAAGCAATGGTAATCGAATGAGTATTTAGCAGAGTCATTTACTCTGGCATTGCTTATGAAAAAGGAATTGACTGATCTGGCAGAAATTGGAAGGGAGATTTTGAGATAAGCACCCCGTGTTTATAAGTACTATTGGGGGGAGAAAAAGTGGATAACGGCACACCGGCATTCCAAAAGTGGCTTCTTATTCCAAAAGCACCTTCTTTAGACTTCTTAGAAATATCTGCTCATCTCACACGGTCCCGCAAAGCAAAGATGTGAACGGAGCCTTAAGCACTAATGATTTTAAAATAAATAGCAGTATTTCATTGTATTTAATGTTTCACTGTTTGTAATTAGTCATAAACCACATTCATCGACAGCAACTGTGCTGCCAAAATAGATGCTTACGTAGTATAGCACTAAGGAAAAAGGTGTGGCAGCCTTCCCATAGTAACCAGTTAAATACAATAAAGGAACATTTCTGCTTTAATTTAAATTGTTTCCTTTAAGATTTCTTGAGATTATTCTTTTATGACTTATGTAAGCAACTGTGGTCTATATATGTTCATATAGGTGTAAAGAGTCTGACAATGGATGTCCTCAACAGCATGGCCGCTTATATCTCCCTTCCATCCATACTTCACAGGATATTGCAGGTACGGGCTTCATGTTTGCAGACTGTCTGTTTGTTTTGCCAGAATAGTTATTAACATTGCGGGTTAGACTTATATTTAAGCCAAAATGTTTTTAAGCTATTTCAAATGCTGATTAAATCACTTACAATGGATGCTTCTCTTTGGTGTTTAAAAGTCTCACATTTCCTGCAGAATCAGCTGGTTCCCTGAGTCATGTCTTCATATCCTGTTTTAGGCCGGCTCCTTTCCCTTGCAGGGTTCTATGGAGCCACCCTTGGGTGTGCTAGTAAGCTGTGTGTTACAGTCCATGCACCCATTGCACTCCTGACCGTTCATCCATTAGGATAAAATGGGTGCAACAGTAGTCGATGGATGGCCACCGGCTCAGTGATACGAAAGAATATGGACACCGGCACTCCAACGGCAGATAGAATAGGTCTATTTATTGAAGTACATGCAAAAAAAAGCTTAACCCACTTACTGCAACGTTTCTGGGGCACGTAGGATCTCCTTCATCAGGCAGAACAAATTACATAATATTTTAAATCCATTTTCTGATGTGTGTAATGGTTGATGTAAACCTTCCCATGTCTGTCAAATTCTTAAATAAACTTTTTTTTAAAAATATTTTGTTTTGTATAGTGACAATCTCCATTTTACATCATACTTTTATAAACATTTTATACATCCATATTCTTCATCATATCCTAATCTAATATACAATTCACTTTAAAATCAAATCATTCAATCTTACCATCTCCCCACCCCACCCATGAAAAACGAAAAAACAAAGACTACACTTTAAAAAATTTTACTCTTAAAAAAAAAAAGTATCAGCACCAGTACTGAGAACTGATTAAGGATGAGGATTATCTCTTTTAAATAAAGCCATCCTGACTAACAAAGGCATAAAATAACTGATCATACAAAGCAGTAGTGGAGGCCTGACTGACATTTGTTGTGAATGTGGTAGATGTTGCATTTGTAACTTTGCCACTTTTAATTTTTTTTCCTTATTGCAGTTTTGTATAGTAGGTTAAATTTTTATGTTAATACAAAAGTTTCATAAATAACAAACTGTATAGAATTTTGATAGACTGGGAGATATCTAATTGAATCTTATTTTAAAACAACGGTTTTATTGACATAATACAACTTGCATTTTAAGTTTACCAGACCGAAACAGGCTTCTGCTTATGCCACCAGCCAGTATTATGAACTCACATGTCTATAGAAAGTTAATTAACATTCAAATAAAGCATAGGGCACATCTGTGTCTGTTAACATGCAGCATAAAAAAAAAAAAAGATACCTCAGGGTAGTAATTCCACATTAATGTGCAAAGTGGGTTAAATGGCACCGGTTGTAGTCAAAGTCTCATCTGCTGCTAGCTCATCCTTGGCTCCCTCATCTACAGTATGCAGCTGTTTCAGAGAGTCTCTTTGAAATCTGGGCCACCATTTCATGTATATTTCATGAAATCTGCTCCGCAGTATCATGTGGCCATGGTCTGGTAGACATTAACACATCTTTTACACAGTTCTAGAAATCCTTACTAATAATTAATCGTTTCGCTTTTTTATTTCTTAGTTTTCCTTAGTTTAAATGTTTGTTTTAATTGTCTTTAGCAAATTAAATATTTCTTCTCTTTTTGACCAAAGAATTTCTTTCGTTTTATTATTTGACTTTATTCAACTCGGACCTTTTTATCATTGTTATTTCCCTTCCCTATCATTTAATCCTTTTACATGCTTCCTTCATGTTATGTTTTACTTGTTAGGATTAATACCACTGGGAGTACCTATGCACAACCATATGCCTGCCTAGGTACCAGCTCCTTTACCCCTACAGCATAGAGAAATTGCCACTCACACAACTGATGCAACCATGATTCCACCTCTTAACCCACACCATGCTATCGACAAGAAATGCAACAGGCCTGAAGTGTAGACCGCCCCATTGACATCAACTGTACAGGTGTTACCTGCACCATGAGACACTAACTGTCTCCACATTCTTTTTCTCTTTAAACGTAGCAAGCATACTTACACTGAGTGACACAGTGTTGCAGAATTTGTTCTTGGATCACTGAGCCTCCCTACTGTGTCCTTGTCTCAGCTTCCTTGTCTCTGTCTCTGCCTCTGCCAGGTTTACTGGGAGAGCATGTAAGCCATGACTGGGTCCCTTGACACCCATAAAGCCCTAATTCAGTTTTGATTTCTCATCCTCTACAGGCCCACTTTATCCCAGTGTCTAAAAGAAAATTGCACATGGCAGCCAGTTGTATTTAAATTTTAGACCTTAAGAGCTCAAACTATGTAACCATAACTCCTTTGTTGAACTTTTAACCCTCTGGTATCCTTTCTAGAATTGATCTCAAAGACGGTTCAATGATCCCAGTATAAATGTTTTTGGTTTTTTTGTTTGCAAAATATGAACAATTCCAGGTATTATATTTTGTTATGTATGCATCTGTTTTCTTGTAGTTTTTCTTTGTGTTGGTGATCTGATTTAAAGTGTTTTTCCAGTATGTGTCTAGCTAGCTCTGAGTTTGAACAGGAAGATTTGTAAATCGCCAATTATGCAGCACAAGCCTCAGTACAGACTTATTGCAGCCCAGATAGCTCATTAACTGGTCATATTGTAATGTGAATTTCTCTTAATATCACACCATGTTTTCCACCTTTTGCTTTCCAAATTAAGCTACTAGAATCAGTCACAGTTAGGGGTGACATTGGCTTGAGATACGGTATCATGGCTCACTTGGGACCAGGTGCATTACAGGCCACTAGTGAATGTTGTCAAGAAATGTAATCAGCAGTCTGCAGTATAAAGAGGTCTGTGTGCAACTTTTCCTCTGTTTGCTTGGTTTTTATTTAAAGCTTGCTTCAACGCAACTAGCTAAGCATAAGGTTAAAGGAGAACTATGAGGTGAGTGATTTACACTTATCTTCATAGTTAGAGCCGATCTGTGACATTGAAACTGCCACACGCCGGCTCTATTGATCGGGAAGTGAGTGAACACATAACGTCGCTTGCTCACTTCCGATCATCCCCCTGCAGAGAGTGGTGACTGTCAGTCATTTCTCCCCGCAGGGATTCACCCCTCTCCGATCCTACAGCGCTGACTGGAGGAACGGACAGGGGAGGTGGTGGGCACAGCTGGCTCTGTCTCTAGATAGGTAAAACCCGCTGTCACTCATGCAGCTGGGTGGATCTCGACAGTATTGTCGGGATCTGTCCCGGCTGCAGCGCTTTCAGTAAATAGCTCGCCAAATACTGAGCTTTGGGTCACGGGAGGGAGGTTAGTATATGTCCTCCAGTGACCCTAAAGAGAACTATGGGAAAATAAGGTTACCCCTTAGTTCTCGTTTAAATACACATATGTGAACTACTTATCTGCCAAAAGTTTTGTAATTCTATTAAACTAGCCTTCTGAGGCAGGCACCCCTACCAGAGCACTACCCAAGACCTGTTTGCGGACTACACTACATTAGAGAAATAGAGACCGGTTTAGGGCTTGTTATTGGGCAATTAAGTTGTTTCATGCCCTTAGAAACCTACTGTTGGACAGAACTTTGCACAGCAGCACAACTTTATTGGCATAAAGTGCCATCCCCCCTTTTCTAGCCTTTTACAGGAGGCTCAGATAAAAATACATTTAAGTACTTATGCTAGTTATATGTAAAATTACAATTATGTGTTTTTATTGATCCATAACTAGGTTTAATTGTGTTTTTATGTCTAGCTGGAGTTTAGCTTTGAAATCATGCATGCATGCATGCATGCATTTTTCAATATTTCAGATGTGGCTAGGAATCTACTTGCCACATCTGTAAGATCACTAGTTTAGCTCCAGCTTTCATTGTCTGTAAAGGTTCTCATTCATCCAGGCCATGATATATCTGTAAAAACTAAGTCAAGGCAACTGGACTTGCTGTATTTTTCTTGAAGACGTTTCACTGGACATCCGACCAGCTTTCTCAATTCAAAATGACTTGTACAAAAAATTATCTGGGAATAAATATGGGGAATGTTGCTCCAATCCATGGAATCTGTTAGTCACAACCATGTGTTGATTGTATTTGCATAATTGGAGCTAGGAGGTGTTATTAACCTGCCCAGAGAGAGGTGTTAATTGCCCATTCACACCACTTCCAGATTACCTCCAGACCAGACTGTTTCCGGACCCAAAATGCATCCCAGTGTATTCCTATGCTATTTCTGGCGTCTGTTCCCACCAGCACAGTCCATTCCAGGCCAGTCCAGAAAAATACTGCTTGTCCTATTTTGTCTGGTCTGGAATGCACTGGAACGCATCAAAAAGCATGGAACGCACCTGTAAGATAATTTTAAGCTAAAAAAAAAAGAAAAGAAATTCAAAACGCGACAATGCACTATGTTCCAGATCTGGTCCGGAAAATGGTGTGAACCCAGTCTAACATAGTATTGTATGTGGAAGACAAAACATGTCTCAACCGCCCACCTCTATTCAAGCTTGGCTTCTACATTTTTACAAAAATGGCCTCTTTCACACCTCTTTTAAACAAGTCCTCCTACCTGTCTAGGATGTGTACTTGACTGTCTTCAAAGGAGTGACCTTTTTCCTTTAGATGTAGATACACTGCTGAATCCTGACCAGAGGTTTTAGCTCTTCTATGCTGTGCCATAAGCTGGTGTAACTTCTGTTTTGTTTCACCGACATACAATTCTGAGCACTCCTCACTGCACTGGACTGCATACACAATGTTGTTCATCTTGTGTTTTGGCGTTGGGTCTTTTGGGTGAACCAGTTGTTGCCTCAGTGTATTGCTGGGTTTAAAGCAGACAGGGATGTGATGTTTTTTAAAAACCCTTCTGAGTTTCTCAGACACCCTAGCTACATATGGGATGACCATATTCTTCCGTTTGTCATGCTTTTCACCCTCACTGGTACTCTTGGCAGTCTTTCCTCTTCTTTCTGTTTTGACAAAAGCCCAGTCTGGATACCTTGCCACATACAATGCTGTTTTAACACCTCTCTCTCTGGGCAGGTTATTAACACCTCCTAGCTCCAATTATGCAAATGCAATCAACACCTGGTTGTGACTAACATATTATGTGGATTGGAGCAACATTCACTATATTTATTCCCAGATAATTTTTGTACAAGTCTTTCTAAATTGAGAAAGCTGGTTGGATGACCAGTGAAACGTCTTAAAGAAAAATACAGCAAGTCCAGTTGCCTTGACCGCAGCTTTCATTGTTTAAATAGGGACGTACTGAAATCTACATTCAGCCAAATATGCTTATACACCATTTTACCAATTCTGTATGCGAGTGCATATTTATGTTTTATAATCAATGAAATAATATGCTTCACAAGGTCAGTGCGCTCTGTTTTTCTTGTTCTTTTTATACTATCAGACCACCGTGTTTGTTACAAGAGCTACCAGGCAGGAATACATTTAAAATTGAGGATTATAGAACATATAAAATGCCGGGCAGGGCAAAAAAACAGGTTCACTTATTTGTCTCCCCATCACCCCCTGCTGCATATACCGACCTTCTGTCTGTTCCCCTTCCTCTCCTTTTTGACTGCTGAAATTGATGTACACAGTTCTTCTGAGTATAGGGGAAGAAATTACTGTTTGTCCTTCCTCCCTGTGTGTGTCTACAAGACAGTGTGTGTCTTGCAGACACACGCTGGGGGAAGGGGGAGTCTTCAGTTGTCTTTTGTGAGCCTGGGCAACTGGTGTGCTGCTGTATATTTTAGGTATGATGGGTCTTCCTCCAAGACTTAACTGCCTGTAGATAGTCCCAGTTGTGACCACCATCCTCAAAAATATCCATACAAATCCAAAGTAGGTATAGAGGCACTCACGGGTCTTGCAGCGCAGTTAAGTCAAAGCATCACCATTTTATTGTCAATGTTTCAACAGAACTCAGTCCATCTTTATCAAGACACATGTTTTGATAAAGATGGACTGAGCTCTGTGGAAACGTGTCTTGATAAAGACGGACTGAGCTCCACGACAACGTGTCTTGATAAAGACGAATTGAGCTCCATCGAAATTTTGAGAATAAAATGTATGTGTATATAGTGTATGTGTGTATAGTGTGTATGTATGTGTATATATATATATATATATATATATGATATAGTACTGTGCAAATGTTTTAGACAGGTGTGAAAAAACACTGTAAAGTAAGAATGCTTACAGAGATAAAAGTGTTAATAGTTTATTTCTTATCAATTCACAAAATGGAAAGTAAATAAACTATCAATAGTGATACAAGCACATCTTTTATCAATCTCAAAGCAAACCATGAAGTTTCGGGGCCGCATAGTGTCCCTTCATCAGGCAACACATTGTTTGCCTGATGACGGGACCTTGTGCTGCCCTGAAATGTCTCTTTTTGCTTTGTGATTATGTGAGCATGCATCAATAAAAGACATTCTGGTATCACTATTGGAGTGCCAGTGAATCTTCCTGATCTTCATTGTCTGCAAAAGGGGTGCTAATTGCTTGTCACTGCTGCACCCAACACTCTGGGATTCTTAAGGTCAGGAGTGCGATGAGACATATACTGTAACTTGAACTTAACCTTGTGTAGTCTGCAACCACAAGGTTCACTTTTTCTCTATCAGGTGAACAGGGTGGCGGGCCAGTGAACTGAAGGTGAGTATTAGCAGCAGTGGGGGCAGGAAAAACAGTAGGCCTACTGCTCTGTCCTACATGGGCAAAGCAAAGATTTACATCACATTCATATTTTTCTTCTATATTCGGTATCGCTCATTCTTGTACAAGATAATTCTGTTGTTTTGTTTTCACATGGACAAACATAATTTTTGCTCCTGTTCATTTTCTGGGTTTAGGATCCTGTGTATGGAAAAGGAAAGTTGGGAGAAATCCAAGGCTTGGTTTTAGGAATGCTCGACACCTTTAGCTATGAGCAGGTATCAGTTTTGCTATAAAAACAATAGGAGTTTGTAACGTGTTGGTCATTTGGAACGTATTTAGATAAAATTACAAAACATATTACAGAACATTGCAAATGCGTAAGAGAGAATCACTGTTAAAGCGTAGATAAGGCTATCTCCAGAACAGGTGTCCTATTGGGAGATTTCCCCTCCCCTTCTGTTTTGGTGACTTTTCATACATTTTTGTAACACTAGACTTTGTTACAGCGTTTCTCAATCATAGCACCTTTTAAGGCCTCGTTCACACCTGAACGTTTTATAGCGCGTTCTACGCTCGACGAACGCTCTACAAAACGCTCAAACATCTAAATCCTATTGTATTTAATGGGTCTGGTTCACACCTCTGCGTATTTCAGCCCGTCCCTAACGCGCTACAAAACGGCCCACGCCTGAAAGGGTACATGTACTACTTTGGGCCATTTTTGTTGCGCGTTTCCATTGGGATACAGCCAAGTAGCCCTCGGAAACGCGCGTTAGTCGCGCAACTTTTTTACCGCGAATCGCGGTTAAAAAACGCGCGACAGCCGCTCATATGCAATACGCCTAGGTGTGAACCAGGGCTTAAGGTATGCAAAATCTTGAGGCAAGTGTAAAATGTAAAACCATATATGTAAAACATAAGGTGTGGCCCCCCTCTCCCTAAAATCAATACCAAACTCTTATCCTAGATAACGGGCTCGTATGGATTTAAAGGGGGGACCCCAGGCAAACAAAATACAGGAACAAAAAAAATGAAGATGTGGAGTTTCCCCTTTCACATTAGAGTCGTCCCCCCACTTTCTCATTAGAAAACCCCTTCAAATCAGAGACTCCCTTTAGCAGACATTTGGAGGCACCATTGGTCTAACATATACAGACATCAATACAAACTTGACACTGGTCCTATTCAACATTCTTTCCAAAACTAAGAACAAAAAGGATTGGCTAGGGATGCACTTTAAATAATTTATGTGTCCAGATATGTAAAGTTCAAAACATCAAACCTCCACTCATGCCCAAGTCACCTATTATTTATCAGATTTTTAGTTCCTGTCCCAAGGATGACATTTTTACCTTATAGGTAACCCAGCTCTAACTCAGAATTGAGCAAAGCAGGGATTTAATGATGGACATCTAATGGCTGTGGATGTTTAATGAAGATACTATTTCATTATCATAGCCTGCATTTTCCTGACTATTGGTTCACAATCTAAATGGTAATGTTCAGTAATGGAGGTGAATTAAAAGACTGAATGTTAAATATAAATAGTTAGTTTGTTTTGGTGATTGGCCAACTCTGATCCAAGAGTAGCATTTCCATTCCAGTTATAAAGCCAGTTGTGCATTTACTGTCTTGTAGTGATTTCACACATTTATCTTCTATGTATAGACACTGCTGGAAACCACCACAAGCTTGTTGAACCAGGACTTACACTGGTCACTGCGCAACCTTAAAGCTTCTATTACTAAAGCACTTGCCCCAAAGCAGGACCACTGCTGCATCTGCCTTCAACAGTACAAGAAGAGGCAAGAGGGCGCAGATGAGATCCTCGTCTTCAGGTAATTTATCCTTTGTTCTTCTTTAATGGTACAACTTTCGTCATTTCATGCATTTGATGAATGATCACTTACAGTAAGAATACATACAGATTATGTAATTAAATTATCCATAGCCATTCACTGTTTCTAGAACAATGTCACTCAGGGAAATATTACATTTTGTCTTGGTCTCTGTGATACCCAGGGATATCTGTTTCCCAGCTTAAAATCTTCCATCCTAAATCCATATTAATCCATATCATTGCTATAGCATTTTATCTGTATGCTGAGTAAGAAAGAAACCGAACAGAACCATTTAAATACTTTGTCAATAATTGAATCAACTTTTTTTAACATTATTTTTGTTCATAGTTGTTATAAATGTATGGGCAGGTAGCCATATTTTGCTCATTACATATCCCTGACCTGCTTTCTATACAGCAATACTGCAGTGACTGAGCTTTACTGCTACTTTTGTTTGTCAGCACTAGCATGCAGGTCAGGTAAGTTATTATCAGAGGATATAACAGATGATCACTAGAGGGAGGGTTTGCAATTTCATATATCAAATACAATAATTAGCATATGAGGAGCATGAGGGGTTTGAGATGATTGAAATGACTGAGAGCAGAAAGACTTTATATGCAATATTATAATGACATTTGAGATCCTAGCTCAAGAACAATTGAGTTCCAGTAGCCGATTGTAGCATCAGACCTGTAGCCAGCACTCAATATTTTCTCTTTAATTTGAAATTCAATGGGTTGTTTTCATGTATTATGCTCCCAGCTTTGGGATAGAATATTTGTCAGGTGTATAAATATTGGTACAAATGATATGTGACATTCCATATGCTGATAGAAGCAAGGACACTTGTGGAGGCTTATTATGAGGTTTTCAAGCTTTGTGACAGCAATTTCTGCTATTATTATAGATTAATGTGATTGCCTGAAATGCCTCTCTAGTGCTGTGATTTACGTGAATTAGATTTGGCAATTTGTTTAGCTTTTATGCTTTCACTGTTGTGACTCAATTCCGATGAAGTCCCAAAGGCATTTCAGTAGCCTTTCAGGCAGAAAGAGCAGCTTAGGGGAAATGTCACTGCTTTTAACGTCACTTGTCCTTTTAACTTTTCACTAGTGACCTTATCTACCTGTGCCTCGGGGTGCAGAATTAAATCATAAGCTTGTGAAGTTCGTTCACAGAGTTTTCTATCAGAAGTGATTGGAATTACGTTTTGCAATACACGAGGTGTACAATTTTGGGTTTATGACTGGGCAGAGAGAAATACTACTTTTACCAGGAAAGTATATAGAGTTTTCACCTGACAGGTAGCTTAGTGGCCTTGCCACCAACATTGTACTTGAGACCACTGCCAGTAAATAAAGACATTAAAAAGATAGCCTGATGTTTGCTTCCAGAAAAGAATGTGAAATTACAACATCACATTGCTATCCCCGGTATCTCGTACAATTAAAAAGTATTTAAAGCTGACTTTTCGGCAGGTATAACACACAAATGAATGCATCTTTGCAGTCATTAATGAATCGTTTGCGGTATTTTTTTAATGCAACTAGTATAAGGACTTGAATTTGTTTTGGACAAATGATGATGTCAAGCTGAGGACAGGCCCCTATAGTACTCACTTAGAGCTGAGCATATTGCCTCCTTTGACATACTCTCAGCTCTCTTAATCTCTGCAGTCATCTGTCTGGGCATCTCTGTACATACATTTAAGTGTAAAGTACAGAATATTTCTTCAATTGACTTTTGTCGAAGATGCTGGGCTAAATATTGTCGGCCAAACATTGACTGAGGCCAATTTACTACAGTCACTGTTCTGGTATTCTGACAGCTAAAGGCGCTGACTGTCAGAATATAATAGCCCGGTAGGAGAGAATCCCCCATTCACGCTGTTTAATGTGGATGGGCAAATTTAGTGTTTTTTTTCCTTGTTCAGCCTGCAGGGCCGAACAAGAAAAAATGCTGAGTGTTATGACCAGCTTAAAGCGGACGATAAGTGTTATATATAAAAATGTGCTGACAGGCAAGCTTAATATGACAAAATAGACTCTTCTGTCATACATCCTCCTATCTACTTGTCAGCCCTTTTTTGTTCTGTGCACTGAGCTGTGGAAAAAAGCAGAAATTGCCTTACCACTTGCCTCCTCTGGCCCTGGCCAATTACACAACTGAAGTCTCTGATCTCAGAAGAAGACTGGGACGAAGATAAAATGCCAGCAAAGGAGGAGAGCACTGACATCACAGCATGTGAGGGGATAACTTTGTCAGGTAAGTCTGCCATAGTGTGCTAATATGCTGTGCATACAATCACATTATTGCTAAAAGCTCCAGGGTGGCTCCATTTTTGCATTTCTTTTAGCTTTACTATTGCTTTAAGTGTATGGCTAGCTTTACTCATCAGAGCAGTGGCCCATCCCTTATCAGATGGCCAGCTTTCTATCAGACATGTAGAACTGCAAAGCAAGCTTCTGTGCAGTTTCTGTAGATCGCCCGTGTTCTGGGAACCCTATATCATGTTTTTTTTAATGTATATTTGTAAAACAGAGATTATATTCTCATTTCAAAAGATATATGTTACAAAACAATTTCAAAACATATGAACGTCAATAAAAGAAAAGCTAAAATTGACCCCAGACCATTGAAGTTTCCCTTTACCAAACAAGGTGCATGTACAACAGGAGTGACTCTTGCCTTTGTATAGTTTTTTTTTAAGAGTTATGCTGCATCTATTAAGGAATATTCTGTGCCACAGTTTTTGTGCTAGATAGTTTTCATGAGAATTGATTAATGAATGTTGAATCAATTACAGCTGTCAGTACTCAGAAAAAAAAATCTATACAGAATACATTTCGGACGGATGTGCTTCAAGTCCAACTTAGTAGAGTAGAACAACTTCATGAAAGATCTACAAATCTATATCGTATTTTCAGGATTTGTAGCTGACCAATGAGAATATACTTGGCATGGTCCACTTATACGCTTAAAGTCAAACAAAAATTAAACAAAATAAATCGTAGAAATCTGGACCTGCTCTATTTTCACATTGCTTTAACTGTATATACAGTTGTGTGCAAAAGTCTAAGCACCCCCAGGTAAATTACATATTTTATTGATTTTCTTTTTTTTTTTTTTTAAGTTGGCTCAACCTCTGCAGGGAGTAAACTTTCAGATGCCTTTCTTTATATTTGAATGCACATTTTCTATTTTATTTTGATTTTATTGTCAGCACTGCTGAATTTACCATAACTGTACACTTATAGGCAGCACTACTTGTGGTGCTGTTTTAAGGGCCCTTCATATCCATATTTGCTAGGTGTCCCTTATATTGCCTTGACTCCCATACAGTCCTCTATCAACATGGTGACCTTCACCCCCACTAGACCTTTTTATTAGCACGGTGACTGGTATTCAGCAAGAAGTCTTCCACCCACACACACACTAAAGGTGCCCACACACCTGTCGATTATCGTACGATAATCACGGGTCATCCCTCGATCGTACGATAATCGGCAGGTGTATGGGCAGCTTGCACTGTAACGTCGCATGACTTTCGTTTTCCGAGCACGCTGGGAAACCTGCAGAAAATCGTACGGTTTTCGGCGGTTTGGTGGCGTGCTCGGAAGACGAATGCCGCACGGGCCGATTACACTGCCCACTCAGCACTGCAATCATCGGAAGCCCTCCCCTAAGCGGGGAGGGCTTGCGATGATCGCAAGTACGACCTGCCTGTCCAAGATGGGCATATCATACGAAATTTTAATCACCTTACAACCATCGCACAACGAAAGTCGTGCAATGGTTGTAAGGTGCATGGGCAGCTTTTGGCTAGCCATACATGCATAGATTATCTCATATTGTTTTACAAAAACTGTCACATGACACTAAACAAAAATGTATCGGTACTTGGTCTGGAAAAAATTGTATTTGTGCATCCCTAATATAGATATAAATCTATAGATATAGATATATATA